CGTCCGCACCCCCGCAGCCCGCAGCGCATCAGCGCGCGCACGCGCGTGCAGACGACGTGCCCGGCCCTTTGCAGATAACGCCACAGAGAAACCCTCAGCAATCGTGCTCCAATATCGCAGCGGAGGAAAGGCCTGTTTTTCAAGCCCGCTTTTCCCCATTCTTTGTTTCCCGAGCGTTTGCTAAAAACACCTGCTGGTTTGGCTGGTAACAACTCAGCAGTGGCAATTTGGATGCAGATGTGTTAGGAGAGAAAGACGAAGGGAGGGATGACCACAACCGCCAGCCCTCACCGGCACTCCTCTTCCGGACCGGCGCTGCGGAAGAGCCAGGCCAGCTCCGGCACGGCCACGAGAGCCTCGAGCTCTCCTGCCCTTGGAGGCAGCACTCAGCATCCCAATATTAGCCTGGACAAGCCCTCCCCGTCTCTTGTGAAAAAACCCCAGGGTCCTCCCGCCAAGCAAGCAACACAACCTGCAGGCCCTGGGGCGGCTGAGGGCAGGGACTGCTCTGCCCCGAGAAGTGAGAGCCGTCCCCGGGAGCGCCAGCTGGGCAGCAGGCAGGGTCTTACCTTGGTCTCAATAATCTTCCACCCGTTGGCCTTGAGCTGCTGGAGCTCTGCGAACTTCATGCTGACATCCTCGATGGAGAGCTGCAGGAGGTCCCAGAACCCAGCCAGGTCTTGGAAGGTGGGCACGGGGAACGCGTTGGGATCCTGCGGGCTTTCTCCTGCTCTATTCAAAAATCCCCTCTCCGTCACCAAGGCGCCCTAGGCACAATATCGCAGCTAGGTCTCTGCCCCAGAGCCAAAGCAGCCAGCAGGATGGGGCAGTTTGGGAAGTACCCCCTTTGCGCCCCTCTGACTAAGGGGAAAATACCACACTGGCCAAGGAAAAGGGCTCTTTATCCTCCCCAGCACTTGGGATCCAGCCAGAAAGCCTTCTCCTCCTCGCCCACTTCCCCAGGCGGAAAGGGGTTAGGATGAGCCTCCAAATATTGAGGTGGCTCCACCAAAGCAGCT